GCAGCGACATGTACAACTGTCAGAATACAATGTCCCAGCGGGGAGGATCCTTCCATCCATCTCACTGGCTGAACAAACAATGTATGACCATCTTAAAGCGAATTTAATCTATATATTTTTTAAAGGGTTCCCAGGAAAAAATAAATATGATCGGAAACAGCAGCCATACCCTAGCCCTAAACAAAACTGTACAGTATAGAGAACCACAGATGGTTGAACCAGTGGCAGGGGCCTCAATGGGTACAATATACACTCATCGGCTACTTTATTAGGTACACTTGCTGCTAGTACCAGGTTGGACCCCCTTTGCCTTCAGAACTGCCTTAGTTCTTCGTAACATAGATTCAACAAGGTGTTGGAAACATTTCTCAGAGATTTTGGTCCATATTGACTTGAGTTACTGTTGCCTTTCTATCATCTCAAACTAGTCTGACCATTCTCCTCTGACCTCTGACATCAACAAGCAGCAGCTCTGCATAGAAACCAGTCAGCTTCCAGTTTTTTTTTTTTGTCAAAGCTTATTTGACAAAGCTGAAGTTAGAAGCTGATTGGCTACCATATACAGAGCTGCACCAGATTTCGCACTCTCCAGTTTTAGTAAATCAACCCAACTCTTCTATCCTGGCACTGCAGCCCTGCAACTGACCAGCTCCTTGTGTTACTCTCCTTCCTGCAGTATGAGGCTGGTCAAATTCACGAATTTACACAGTGTACATTTAAAATTACATTTAAAAATGTATTAATGAATACAGAGCTACATTCTTCTGTATCCTTTATATCTGCCTGGAGTTCAGTTTTACGTCACTTTTTGACAACTTGAATATTTGAAGAGATTAATTCAAAGAAGAGAATTCCAATTTAATATGGCATTCTGTTCTGATGCGGAAATATTAATAGTTAATGTAGGAATTTGCTGAGTATTTTGTATCACTTCCTTTGTATGTGACTAAAGAGGTGCTATCACTATGATGTATGGGAAACTCGTTGCTCTTAGAACACATTTTTGTTCAGCTTAAAAAGTGGTCACATAACAATATTTTTCAATAAACTTTCCAATTTAAAAGCTGTCTGCTTTCATTTAGTTATAAATGGTATTTTTAGCTGTGTGCAATTGGCAATTACAATTCTTTTACTCATTTCAATCAAAATAATTGTAGGTAGCAGCAACGTACAATGACCCAATACAATACTTCTTATTAATGTGTCTGTTGTAAACAGCTTCCTTGCTCCCCATACATAAATAGCAGTTTCAGATTCAGAGCCAACACTGAAAGCCAAAACTGTTGAAAAACATATAGAGTATATATATATATATATATATATATATATATATAAATAAACAATTTATTTTTTTATTAGTGTTATAGTCCACCTAAATCCAATATTTTAGTATCTGTAACATGCAATTGAGTTAAGCCCTCTAAAATTGTTTTTTGGGAATGCATTTGTGCAATGTCTGTGCTGAGGTTCCCAGATATCCATGATATCCATGTCTGCTGCAACAAATTCAATTCAAGCAGATCACACCTTTCTGATTTATTTTTTATTTTCTCATATATTATCCCCTTAATGGGGAATAATATAATATGTCGCTAATATTATTTCCAATTCCTGCCTGTGTTAAATACCACACTAATAAAATAAAAATGGAAAAAATTAAATCAGTAAATAATAATATTAATAATATAAAATAGCACTATTCATTGACTTTTGCAACAATCATGTGTGTACTATCTGAAAACTGTTTCCTCAATATATTTTTAAACTGATTTCTTTGTTCGCAAATGTATAGATTGCAAATGTGTAGGTTCATCTGCTTGTTTGTTTTTATAGTTTTAGTCCAGTTTAATTTATAACTTATGTGTAGACCAACAGAACTAAGATCTACAATTTATTCAATATTTTAATACAAACTACAATATTTTAATACAAGTGTGTAGTAATAACTCATTGTGACCCAATTTTTATATTTCCTAGGAAATATTTTTTAACTCTTATTTGAAAAAATAAGTAAAGCAAAACTTTGATAGACCATTTTTGACCTTTTTTTTCCAGGGTAAAATAAAAAAACTGATGAAAATACTCTTCCGATCTCCCCATCTTTCAATATTTTTTTGATCTCCAAATTTGTGGTCCACCTACCTGACTTCTATTTATTATCACTACACTGGTGGTACCCACTCAAAGGTTTTGTTTTCCTACAAGTCCTGCAAAGTACATTTGCACCCCTTCACAGGAACTGATAGGAACTCCAGCTGCTTCATTAAGAAAGCAGATTTTATCCAATAAATGATATAGGTACAATTAAATATGATAACACGACTTTTGATTAAATACATATTGTAAGTGGTGATCTATATATTTGCACTTAGTTGTTTTTTTTTTTTTATGCACTGGTGAAAATTGTAGTGAAAAAGGAGGATTTTCTTTCATTTTTCCAATTGTCACCTAAATATTTATTGAATTTTACACCGCAGATTCAAATAAAACCACTGAGATTAACTCATAAAGCAGATATAGAGAGAGCAAAATTCCTTCCAAAATTATATTACAGGTTTCTCGTGGCTCTAAAAACCTTATTATCCCCGACATGCCTAAATCAATCACTGCCAGACAATTATCTTAACAAGTTAAACTAGCACATTCCAAAGAATACAGTGAAAAGAATATTATTTTTCTTTACCGAAAGATACTGCGGTAAAGATTAGAACGGGCTGGAGAGAATGCAATTGAGATTTCAATTTTCACACCTCATAAAGCTTGTGGCATATAAACATGAAGATAACCAGTTAAAGAGAACATTTGTTATTCTAAAGCTGCATCGGTACTCAGGTATAAAAGCATAATATGTGCAATATAACTCACACAGCCCTTGACTAAAGATAAGCGAATATCTTAAAATCCGTGCTGCAGGCTAGTTACCTGATTTGCCCCCTTTATGCACTTTGAGATTTAAAAATGTGCACATTTTGAATTTTTTCTAAATTCATTTTTGTAATAATTTTTTAGGGGGATTCATATAAAATATATACTGATAAATCCCTCAGTCTTTTAGGAAAGAAAGCAAGGATTAGTTTGAAGATTTAAGGCATTTGCTTGAATTGAGCCTTGAAGACCAGAAAGAAAAACACCAAAATATGAAAACAAAAAATAAAAATCTGTTTATTGAAAATTATGTATTTTCAAGAGAAGACATTTCTTTATAATGTATTGGGTTACGCTGCAGAAAACCATTGAAGTCCTGAAGACGATCCTTGATCGAAGCGCATTGAGATTTGATGACGCAACTTCCACCGATGTCACTTCTGCCCTTTGGAACGCACGCCGCCTGGAGGACTAACCACCATAGCGGTGGCCATTTTTTCACCATACAAGTAACAAGGCTGAAAAAAAGATTTAGATATACTGTACCCTAGGTATATTCATTAGACGTAGTGTAACCCCTTGAAGATTACTGTTCCTATTTATTTCAGTCAACTGTTTTAGTTGAATTTGTCATGCCTCTTTTCTGCACTAAAGGTTTTTGGACCCTCACACAGGAAACACCAGGACTGGTTTGACGAAAATGATGATGAGATCAAGGCCCTACTTACTGAAAAGCACTTCCTTCACCGTGCTTATCAGAACGACCCATCATCAACAGCTAAGAAAAATGCCTTCAACAACACTCGCAGGACCATACAGAGCAAGCTTCGCAAGATGCAGGACTCCTAGTTGAGTGCCAAAGCAGATGAAAATCAGAAGTTTGCTGATAGAAATGATACTAAACTGTTCTATGAAGCCCTCAGATCCCTGTACGGACCTCAGCCCTCAGGGAGCCCCCCTCTACTAGACTCAGATGGTGCATCTCATTACTGAGAAGACTCTGGATCACAGAGAAGCCTCTCAGCTGCAGCCTTCTTCCCTGCTCATGCCAAACCACCCTTCTCGGGAGCGCGCAGGAGCGGGAGACCACAGGCGGGTGTGCACTCCGTGTCAACATGGCGGCGCTGTGAGGTTCTCTTTCGAGGAGTCACTTGGGTGTTTGGACAGAGGGGAGCGGCGACGTGATATCTGATGAATGAAGGGCAGCTCGGCATGAGCAGGGAAGAAGGCTGCAGCTGAGAGGCTTCTCTGTGATCCAGGCGGCCCTTACAGGACCTTATCCCCCTTTGGTCTGAGCAAGTGTGGCTACCTAGATCCATCCTTAATCCAGAGAGGGAATCTCTCATCCAGGGATCAGCACCCGTTTAACCCCTTGGGGGGAACTCTGGTTGATGTGGATCACCATTTAGAACCCCGGGATCCTTTTGATGACCATCCATTCCGTAGAGGGAAGACATCCCTATTCCTGGCTTGCCTTGATGACCTCTGGAGGTATAGATGCAGGCGCATTTTGTATGCGCGTCTGGTGAGTGCGCATTCTGTACACTATTACTGCACAGACACCGGTTCCCAGGAAAGCAAGCACTTTAAAAAGCACTAAAATCACTTTTTGAACTGTTTATGAACTTCAATTCTGGAAATGTTACTTGATTTTATTTGGTTTATTTATTATATTTAGCGCTGTACCATTCTTATATTGCTTTTACTTAGGGTTTTTTTGGTTACCTTTGTGCATAGCGGCTTTTACTGATTTGTAGAGCGCTCACATTTCCCATGTATTTTTGTCTATAAACTCACTCTGCTGTTCCAGTGCTTCTGGAATCAAGCATCCATTCCTCAGGAACTGGAAAGGGAATCGACAAGTCTGCGATAATCATAGAGGAATATCACTGTTTTCCATTGCAGGCAAGATCCTTGCACGAGTGTTGCTGAATCACCTGGCTGACCACCTGGAACAGGGATTATTACCCGAGACATAGTGCGGTTTCCACATAGAGCGTGGCACTGTGGACATGATCTTTGCAACCCAACAGCTCCAAGAGAAGTGTCAAGAGCAGAAACATGAATTGTACACCACCTTCGTGGATCTCACCAAGGCTTTTGATACTGTCAGTCGCGAAGGCCTGTGGCACATCATGTCAAAGTTTGGATACCCTGAAAGATTCATCCTAATGATAGGTAATTTCCACGACGGCATGATGGCTCATGTTTTGGACAACGGAGAAGCTTCAGAGGCCTTTCCTGTTACAAACGGCGTCAAGCAAGGGTGTGTGCTGGCACCGACCCTGTTCAGCATAATGTTTTCATGCATGCTGTCAGACACCTTCCAGAACAGTCCCTTGGGAGTTAGCCTGAGGTACAGGACCAATGGGAAACTGTTCAACCTGAGAAGACTCCAGGCTGTCACCAAGATAAAGGAGACTGTGCTACGAGACTTCCTTTTTGCTGATGACTGTGCTCTGAATGCTGGATCAGAGAAGGAAATGCAAGCCAGTGTGGACAAATTCACAGCAGCATGCCTCCTCACCAACATAAAGAAGACTGAAGTGATGCTTCAACCAGCTCCAAAAGCCCAACCCCAAGAGCCTACCATCACAGTGAAGGGACAAAAGCTGCAAGCAGTAGAATAATTTACATACCTTGGCAGCACCTTATCCCGTGCAGTGACAATTGACATCGAGGTCACCTGCAAAATTGCCAAGGCAAGCTCTGCATTTGGCAGACTACTGAACAACGTGTGGGACCACCATGGAATAAACCTTGCCACAAAGCTGAAAGTCTACCGAGCAGTAGTACTAACTACCCTGATGTATGCCAGTGAGACTTGGACTTTATGCAGGAGGCATGCTAGGCAATTGAATAACTTCCACATGACCTGCCTCCGCAGACTTCTGAGGATCTGTTGGCAGGATAAGGTGCCAGACACAGAAGTCCTCTCCAGACCAGGCCTGCCATCAGTTCACACCCTGCTGATGAAAGCCCAGTTACCCTGGGCAGGCCATGTTGAAAGGATGCCAGACCACCGCATCCCTAAACAGCTCCTCTGTGGTGAGCTTTATCAGGGAAAGCAATCACACGGGGGACAAAGGAAGCGATACAAAGACACATTGAAAGCCTCCTTCAAGACCCTGGATATTGACATCACCTCTTGGGAAACCCTGACTCAAGATTGATCGACATGGCGCACGTTGATCCACCAAGGCTGCCAGACATTTAAGAAGAGAAGAACAACCATAGCACAAGAGAAGTGAGCACTCTGCAAAGCCTGAGCTGCAAATGCTGCAACAGTGGTGCCCACATATGTTTGCCCAACATGTGGAAGAACATTTAGTGTTTGTACACGCCTTACCAGCCACCTACGGACACACCGTGGACAGCCCACTACCTGTTAGATGTCAAGGTCCTCTTTGAAAACGATGGACGAACATCTTCACTCTAGGTATATTCATTAGAAGTAGTGTAACCTCTTGAAGATTGTTTTTCCTATTTATTTCAGTCCACTGTTTTATTTGAATTTGTCATGGCTGCTATAAGCAGTCAGATGGTGGGTTACAGTAATGCCTGGATTACAGACAGAGCCCCTAGATCCTGAGGCAGATGGATTTTTCTCACCATATGTATTCAAAAGGTTAATTTTTAATTTTGACTAGAACACACGTTTCTCCCATTGTTTTGCTTCCACTTTCAGTCCTGACAATTTGATAAATATGTGATACACAATCCAGGCTATGTTCATTCGGCATTATGATGTGCCCATGCATGATAACATTGTTGTGTGTCAGATTACATATTTTATACCTGCAAATAAAAACATACTCTTATTGTGTTTGCCATTCATCATATTGACAATGACAAGCGGCTTATTTGGAGCAATTTCATGCTTTTGTGCCGAGGATAAAAATGCCTGTAGAAGGATATTTTGCTTACTATTAGTCAAAAGTGCATCTTGGGATGTGCCTTTGTTTTTTTCCCTTTAATTTTACATTTAAAGCAAATGTATTGTATTTTTATATCATTTAAACACAAATATGAATTTGACCATATTACTGTAAGAGAAGTGTTTTCTGACATGGATTGTTGTTTTAAAAAAATGTGTTTCTATTTATAGTCATAGAATTGTATTTTCGAATATTAGTGGCATAGAGTCATTGACATTGGTCCCTAATGCAGGGCCTGGAGTAGCTTCCATTTTCATATTTCTATTACCGCCATGTATACACATACATGTTTTTTTCTGAAGGTACCAGAGTATGCAGAGGATGTCCAAAAAAAACACACAAATAGTAGAAATTACATTAGAAATAAACCCTTACTGGATGACATTTTCTAAACCACTGTATATCATAAACAACTATCATGTTATATTGTAATTTTTTTTGTTCAAGAAATTTTATTTTAATTTTTTTTTATCCAACCATTTCCTTCCTATGACCGGCTTCATAATAGAATAGTTGCCAACATTTCTAAAAAAAAATTTAGGGACACTTTTTTTCTATTGTATGTCCAGAAAGCCAGCGTAGGCAGAGTGATATGTAAATTAGGGCCCGCAAAGTGCACCACACCGAAAAGTGGGTGTGGCTTAATTACACTAATTATTGGGTGTGGTTTAAATGGGGTGTGGTTAAATAGAGTCTGAGATTTTCTTGCAATTTTGCTCTCTTCACCAACAGCCCTAAAAACAAATAAACACACACATAGACTCATCTAAAAAAAAAAACTTTAATAATATAAACATAATGAACTGGTCCACACTCACTATTGGTTGCTAGAGATTACAGCACATTACCTCTCACTGATTGGTTGCTAGAGGTTACTGCCGTAAGTACAGGGGAGGGTCAGAGACTGCAGGAGTAGTGCAGGAGATGGTCAGAGACTGCAGACATGGCACAGGGGATGGTCAGAGTACAGCATGCTTCACCATAAATATCACAGCATGCTCCACCATAAATATTACAGTATGCTTCACCATAAATATCACAGTATGCTCCACCATAAATATCATAGTATGCTCCACCATAAACATCACAGTATGCTTCACCATAAATATCACAGATTCTCCACCATAAATATCACAGATGCTCCACCATAACTATCACAGATGCTCCACCATAAATATCACAGATGTTCCACCATAAATATTACAGTATACTCCACCATACACACACACACACACAAACTCTGCACCCCCCACACATACACACACAACTTTCTCACAACTTGCCTCTGCAACACTATTGAGCGGCATCTGGTCAGTCCGCAGCCGCTCTGACAGTGTGTTTATCATTGGTGATCTGGGTGTGCGTCCTGGGCTTGGTTCTGAGTAGGAGGAGGCTGGCGTGATCACCCCTGGGCTGGCCATGCCCCCTCACAGTAATAACCAATCATCATGGGAGAAACAGCCACATGACTTCCTGTCTCTCACTGATTAGCAGTCCCAGGCAGAGGGAAGACAGAAAGGAGGGGCAGAGGATCCAAACCGATCACAAGGAGCGAGGGGGAAGATTAGTTAACACCAGGGGCGGACTGACAACTCATTGGGCCCCCGGGCAAGAGGGGATCATGGGGCCCCTGTGTCCTTGCTCAAAGTCAAAAAAGCCTATGAAAAAGGTACCAGGGGCATCTCATGGGGCCCTCTACTGACCCCGGGCCCTTGGGCAGTGCCAGAGTTTCCAAATGGTCAGCCCGCCCCTGGTTAACACACTGCAATACTAGATCATGCCCCGACTGCCGTGGCCAGCAGTCGTTCATGACAAAATAACAGTGTCCATGATAAAAATCATTTTCCGTGATTCAGCCCGGGACAAAGACTGTCCGTGAAAAATGTAAAAAAAACATGAGCGTCCCGGGCAATCCGTGACTGTTGGCAACTATGTAATAGTAACAACAGTGGACCATGCCTGTGTAATGTATGCTGACACTTCTGCTTGTAGTTTCCACCAAGGGAGCATAGGTGGAACATAATTGGAAGACAGTTGTCACTCTATGGTAGGGTACCCTATAGTAGGAAGTGCCTGAACCCTCATGGCAAGATCACCAGGTATTTGTTTAATAAAGCAGTGTATTTAAAAAAATGTAAAACAATTATTAAAATGACAAGGACCACTTGAGTCCCTGGAGCCTTTTCTATTCCTTAAAGTGGAGCTCCAGTCCCCGTAATTAATTTTTGGTAAAAGCAGATCCACGATGACCTTTCAAATAGCATTAACAATTGGAATAATTCAATAGTAAAAGCATTGTAATTACTTAGTAATTATTAAACATTTACCATGATCTCGGAAGTAGGCAGGCGCCATGATGACTGTGGGCATCTGAAGCCCGCAGGTATTTATTTCCGGGAATCGGTGTTGCTGGCTATCCCAGCATGCACCACTCGTTTCTCACGCCTGTGCAGTACAGACACTGCTTGGCACGACATGTGTAGTACAGGTTGACATAACAATGGTGGGGACAACTGAAGTTCCCGCCCCCATCAGTCAACCTGTACATCATTTTATTCACAGAAAGTTAGCCCATCAAGAGTCACCACATCCAATTAAAAGTCGATTACCACACAAAATATAGTTACCAAAGTAGACACATTAAATAGACAGAGTGCGATGTACACACTCAGCAATTCCAGTATAGAGCATAGCGTAGGACGCAACAGGATACAGCATCCATGTCTTCCTGTAATCTGGACGCGAAACAACTCCCATTCACATCATTTCTGGTTTCCAAGTCCTGCGATTACAGGAAACCAAAGGACTCCTGGGATACAGGAAACGACATCCCAGGAGACCTTGCAAAACGCCTTAAGACGTTATCACCTAGGCAGTCTTGCAGTGGATTTAAAGGTATGTATATTATGTATATTAAAAAAAAAATCCAACTTGTTCTTTATTTCACAGGAACAACATAATCAGGTAAAGTATGAAAAATGGGTGGAACTCCGCTTTAAAATTATTGTAAAGGCCAAATAGTTGAAATAGCTCTGTCACAGTCTCTATATTCAGAGGAAATGTTGTGTGACTCACAGGGGTGGACTGACAACTCATGGGGCCCCGGGCAATAGGGGATCATGGGGCCCCTGTGTCCTTGCCCAAACTCAAAAAAGCCTATGAAAAAGGTACCAGGGGCATCTCATGGGGCCCCCTACTGACCCCGGGCCCTCGGGCAGTTCCCGAATTTCCAAATGGTCACTCCGTCCCTGGTGACTCATGATTTCACTACACTGATGTAAACACATTGCAGAAGCATTGTATTTACATTGATCTGATACAAGCCATGCTATGAAATGCTATGTAACAAGATCAGACGTCAAAGAGCTCAATTCAGCTCCTGGGCTTAGTGCTGGATGTCGACTGTCACTGACAGTTGTCATGTCCACACTTCAACCCGGCCAAGACCGCTAGGAGCTGCTGATACCCAGCAAAATTTTAAAATGGCACTAGGACAAATGGGGGTTGATTCATTAAAAAGGCAAATAGACTGTGCACATTGCAAGAAAGAAAAAGAAATAACTGGGTTAGGCTCTAAATTGCAGAATGTAGACAAAGCATTGCAAGTGCTGCTGTAGAATTCCCTTGGAAATAGAGCCAGAGCAAGTACATCCAAAGACAAGAAAAAAAAGTGCTCTAGTAATTAGCAATGA